CTGTTCTGTGAGAGGAGGTGTCTAGAGGGCGGTAGGAGAACATCCTGCCTGCATCCTGACAGTCACTTATGCTTGTGAGAAGCATGTCAGCATTCACAGATACCCACCTGCCCTTGCATGGGGCATCCAAAATTGCTTCAAGTAGGCTTTGGTATTCGTTTTGAAAGCATGCACAGAGACAGTCTCACATGTCTCTGTCCCCAGTTGTGTCCTTTAGTCATGATGTTAAAAGGATCCCAAGAAGATTGAGATGGGCCAGGCCCTAAATTGAGCTTCTGACACCCCTTGAATCTCAGGCCATGAACCAAGCTGGCTCCTGTGTCCAACACTCTGCCCACCTCTCCACATCCCATCCAAGGATCTCAAAGTACTTGACATACCATAAAGAATTAACCCCTGCAGCTCTCCTTCCCATATACCATACCAGAGGTCAGTGCAACTTATTTCCATTTTACTCACAGAGACACTGCAGCACAGCGTGACAGAAGTGGGGCTTCACCCGAGGTCTTCTGACTCCAGCCCAGGTCTGCATCTGTGTTAAGTACTTCCAAGACTGAGAAATAACAAAAGACTGAGCTTGTTGTGAGCAGTTAGAAGTTGGTGTGGCCATCTGATTCAAAGAGAGAATAGCAAGTACAATGCTCAGGGGAGCCCTAGTGCTGAAGGAAAGGAGCCATCCTTTGGCCTCTTGCACACAGCAATGTAAACCCTGCTTTTATGTGAGAGAAAAGCTAGACATACCTCAGTATTCATGAGTTAGATTTAGTCCAGTGTAGATAACTACTCTAAACTGCAGCTGAATCATTTGTACTGATTTAACTCTTACCCTTCCACATTTAAATCAAGTGAAATCTATGCATTTTAATGGATAAAGGTCTTTGGAACCAATGTCTTGTCTGTTCTTCGGGGACTTAAGTGCTCCCACAGTCCTATGTTAGAATCACAGAAAAATAAGGCTGAACATTTTCTGTCTTTCTGTGGCCAAACATTTCCTATGAAGGTGGTTAAGCCCTGGAACAGATTACTTAGGTGGGTTGTGGAATCCCCATTGCTAAAAGTTTGTCAGTGTAGGTTGGCCAAACACTTTTCTGGGATAGTTTAGTCCTGCCTTGAGCACAGGGCTGAACTAGATGACCTCCTGAGGTGCCTTCCAACCATGTTTTTCTCCAATTAAGGAACAGTGGAGACTGAACAGGCAGTTTGGCTACCTTCCTCTGTCCCAGAGCAGCTATCTCCTAGCAGTGCTCTTTGTAAAGTTCTTTGGGATTTCTCAGGAAAAAATAAAACTACAGTAACTCTCCACAAAGTGCTCAAATGTCCTGGGTATGAGGCTGAGATGCAGAGTTTGGCTCTAGAGTCACAGTTTCAGGTCCTTGATTTTTTTTTTTTTTTTTTTTTTTCCTTGGGGTCTATCTCACAAGAGCAGGCTGGCTCAGCAAACGTATGTCCAGGGTATCAAACTCATTGGCCCTGGAGGCAGTGAGCATGCTGGATCCAGTGAACAGAGCTGGGCCACTGCAGGTGCCACATGCAGCATGCATCGTGCACACATAGGCCCTACCTCTGTGTGCAGTGTGTGGGGCTGGTGCACAATGCATGCAGTGTGCAGGTCCAATCCAAGATCCACAGGTAGCACTGTGGGCTGGATCTTTGTCCAGATCATGTATATGAAGCGAGAGTCAAGAATCTGGGCCTGTTTGGTTCAGAAGGGAGAAAACAAGAGAGGCCTGATAGCGCACACAAAACAGTCAATGGTATAGAGTAGGCAGAAGGGGTACTTTCCTTTATGCTTTCTTATGGGTAACAAAGCCAGGGGACATTTAGTGCAACTGAACATCAGGAATTGTACTAAAATAAGGGAGTGCTCTTTTGTGCACTGCCTCAAAACCAGTGGAACTACTGCTGCAAGATGCTGTTGAGAACAAGAGCTTGGTCCCATTCAGAAAAGGAGGGGATTTTTTGTGGGTAAAAAAGCAGTCCTTGTTGTGTTGGAAAGAACAATCAGCTTAGAATGAATGCAAAGCCTCATGCTTTCAGGACCTAAGCCAACCCCTGAGGGCCAGGTCTAAAAAAAGACTTTGGCACCTAAAGTACAACTCGGATGGTTGTCAGGACCTAAGCCCAACTGAGCAGTCTGCAGGACTTTACAAAGAGTGCTGTTAAAAGATGGCCAATGTGGGGTGGAGGAAGGTAGTCAAACAGCTTGCTAAGGAACAGCAGAGAGAGAATCAGAGCCTCTTCGATGACCAAGGGCTAAGTTTTTGCTAGTAATGTTCTCTGTATACCTTTAATTCTGCATCTGCTTATGACCTACCCCACTAGCCAGGGCTGAGCAGCTCAGAGGCTGTTTCTCACCTCAGCCTATTGTAAGTTCCCATGCTGGTTGTCCCTATGCTTATGTGCGGAAGGACTTATTCCAGTACTTGTGGTCAGAGTGTGCCTGATCCACCCACAGCACTGAGTCTAGCACCAAAACCAGCAGCTGAAACCACTTTTGCTCAAAAAAGTGGTTGAGGGATGCTGAGGAGCCCAGCTTTTGTAGAATAGTCTCCTAGTTGGAACATACTCAGAAAGTGGGAGACCTGGTCTATATGCTCCTCTGTCTGAGGAAGTTCAAACCCATGGCTCCCACTTGACAGAAAAGTACTTCATCCTCAAGCTATTGGTTGTTCATGGAGGTAGGCATCTTCTTCCCTTTTCTGGTGAAGCAGAGAGAGAGAGCAGCAGCAAGTAGCATGACTGAAGATCAGCCAAGGGCCCATTTCCTAGGGAGGGGGAATCCAGGTTCCCCAGCAGCTCATTTATTTTGCATTAGAGCATCATTGGATAGTATACACACACAGTGTTGGGAGCAGGGACCAGCAAATGCTTGCCTATGGATGAGGCTGCTATATGTAAGGTTGGGAGCAGCAGCAACACCTCCCCTATTGGGTTTTCAAAGGAAAGAGAAAACCTGCAGTTAGACCCAAAGGAACAACTTGGACCCAGTCTCACACACATGCCACTCTCCGGTCTTCAGCTAGGGGGAAAAGTCCAGGAGAGAGGAGGGATGTCCCCATCTTCCCCATGTTCCTTTCCCTGCTGGTTAGTTCCTACATCCTTAGCAGTGACCTGTTGGGAATCCCACTGCTTTATACCTAACTCTTTTCTCACCTGTAGAGGGGACTTAAGGTCCTAATGCTTCTGGACCCAGGCACCTAAATATGAAGAGTGTTGACATTGGTATTGCTACTGCCCCCCACCCCCCCCCCCCCCCCCACCCCCCCCCCCAGCCCCACCCCCCCAGTCACATGCCCACACACACTGGGCCTGAGTTCTGGATCTGGGCCTCTAGCCTGATGTTCCCCAGTTGTTCTTCATAGGGCTTGCTGCTCCTTCCTCTGAAGAATCCAGTTCTGGTCAGGGTAGGTGACAGGATACTGGAGTGCACTGATTTCAATGGGTGGTCAGATCTGGTCATTCTGGTTTGCTGCTGCTTAAAACCTCAAAGACATGTCCAGGGCATTTGCTGATTATTTCATATTTTAAAGGAAATTCATTTTGGCTTCCGTCTTCATCTCTGGGGAAGGTTCAGGGTTTGTTTTGGGTTGGCTTAAGCTGGCCAGGTGGTAATCCAGCTGGCAGTACCTCCCTCCTGGTCACTGGTGTTTAATAGATTACCGGCAGCCTGGAAGAATCCTGTGGCTCTGGTTCCTGAGTGATGGCATGATATATAAACAAATCGTACTGTCCTGTTATTTTGATGTTATCCCCTGTCAGTTAGGTCACAGCAGCTATAATAATTACTCCTTACCTCTAACTGAGCAAAGGAGTGAAAAATGGTCCAAAGGAGGGAAGCAGAAATAATATTCAGACAATTGAAATTAATTTTGTAAAAGGATGTCATTTTACGCTGAAAGTTCCTGGTGGATATGGAGAGAGCATGGTTAATGTGTGTGATGGCGTGAGGTTATGGGGCATGTTGGCGAGTATGTTTTGCAAGCTAAGCTGGGTTAGTCCTGGACCTATGGGAGACCTCAGAAGTGTCAGAGAACCTCCAAAACATCTGAGCCAGCTCCCAGGTGGTGGTAGGGGTCAGCATGCTTTGGATGTGCTACCCTGCAGAACAGATGTATAATTTGTGACTGCAAATCCTTGTGTCTGTGGATAGTCCCATGGCCCTTTATGAAGCTGTCAGCCCTGAGCCCTCGGGTTTTACCTCGGCTTCTGCTCACTTGCTAATCCTTCGATAAATCACTCCACCTAAATTGGATAGCATATTTCCCCCATCTGTAAAATAAATGTGGATAATGACACCAACTAACCCACCTACCTCATTCAAGTTTTAATGCAAGGTTTAAGAGATGGCTCTTAAAGCATCTTAAGATTTTTAGGTGGGAAGGGGTGACCTAAGAAGATGAGTTCTAGTTTATTAGCTGATAGATCTCATTAGTTTTCTTTTTAATTGTCTGATTTTTTTCCTGTAGCCAGTAGTAGGTGAGAGTGCCTGGCACTGTGGGCTGGGTGCTTCAAATCTCTCTGGATGTATCTGTGTAACTGTGGCCACTAGAGCAGCCATGGTCAGAGCGGTCCTACCCAAGGCATGGGTGATCTAGCGACTGCACTGTGCTGTTACAGGAGAAAGGAGGGAATCAGCATCACTATGAGGCCTCCCTTGCTGTGACCAGTTAGGTCCCAGATATCTGCCCTTTCTCATGGTAGCCCATTCAGACAGTGCCCCATGGTTATTATCCTGGTTCTCTCTCCCCTGTCACATTGTGCTCCAACTTGCTGCCCTTCAACTCGGTAGGTTTGATTGTTTCCCCCAAAGGCACACAAAGGTGAAAAGGAGCAAGGCACCGACAGCTTTCCTAGATCTGCCAGCTTCTCTCCCCACCTCCAGGATGAATGAGGCCCTTCATGCACTCCTCAGGGAGCAAACACAGATGCTTTTGTTCAGCA